ACCCCTCCCCTCTTACTCTTCCCCACTCTTCCTCTGCCTCCACTGATGGAACCTGAGTCCATCAAACATGACAAGGTGTAAAAATCCTCTTCTCCCTTTCTCTCTCTCATCTTCTCTCCTCTCTCCTCTCCTCCCCTCTCGGTTTGTCGTTCTGTCTTTCCTCCCTCTTTACCCTTTTTCCTCCACCTATCGAGCCGCTCCTCCTGCCCCCCCCCTGTCATCTTCTATCACCTCTGTAGAACGAGGGACTCTTATCAAAGCATGGCAAGGTGTGAAATCCCACATACACATTAGACACACACACATGCTACCTCCTGTCAGCACGTATTGACCCGTGTTTCATCCAGACACATTTTCTAATCTAAGAAAAAAATAAAAACTCAATATTCAATCAAAGGTTCATCACTGCGTTTCATTGTGCTCAAGTGCAAACGGAGCACCACACTGTAGAAATGATGCTAGAAAACATCCAGGTCATGTGACACGCTGTCTGACTGCAGTGGAAAGCAAAGATGTTTCAGCTGCTCCGGACGTCATAATGCTTTAGATATGGGGATGATGGCGTATGTTCCCTGACCGGCTTTAGTTGCTGCATGGTTTGTTTTGTTTTATTTTTATTTTGATCAGAGACAAAAATCATGTGACTCATAACAAGCCGCCACTGGCTTTCTGCCTTTCTGGAGAAAAGAGTCAGAGTTCATTCAGTTTTCGGTTTGTTGGCACAACTTAATTTTTTATTGAATGTTGATCATTTATATTCTTAAGACTTCAAAACACACAATCCATATTTAAGGCAAAGCGTTTTTGGGTTTTTTTTCCGGGAATGTCCTCTTGTAAAAAAACGATCCCTTAGGTCGACTGTAATAATTATGACATCAGCAAAGGAAGAAGTCCGGTAACGTAGTGTAAAGAGCGGCGAAGTCTGCGTCAAGAGGAGGTCGTGGTGGATGGACGGGTCACCAAAATATATATATATGACACAGGAGAGCGTTGTTCGATTCCCATGTGAAAGTAGCAGTTCATGTTGTCTATTATCCATGAGCGTTCGACAAAGTTAACCATGTCGTTATTATTGTACCCATGACAACAAAGATTGTCCAGTGTTGAGGGAGTATTCATTTGAAGCCAAATCACAATGTTTTCCTCCACCTAACCAAGCCATGGCCATTATTATAGTAACCATGGTAACAAAGTAAGTAGGTACGCTGCTCTCGGTATAAAGTTCGTGTTTATTATTAGTACAACCAAGATCAGGAGCGCCTGCGGCCATACGGGCGCTATTTCAGGAGACGCTCCTGTAGGTCATATTAGAGGGTGGGAAAAAAACGACCTATATGGTCGTTCAGGTTGGAGGAGTTGTGGGTTTTTACAGTGCATGCAACATCTTATACCAAACTCAGAGAGGAGACATATAAACACAGAGGAAAAGAGTGAAAGAACAGTGGTAGTTGCATTCAGAAATTTGAAGTCAAGATTTGCACATATCAGAATGACGACCCGCAAATTAGGACGATGTAGGAATGTTCTAGTAAAACAGATAATAATCCTCCTTTCAGAGGGTGGCAAGCAAAGTACTTTATGAAAAGTGTTCTTGTAAACCAAGCATTTGAAAGCTATGTTGTCAAGGCTGCTAACCGAATAAGTACTGTGCTTTTTGTTGGTTTGCTGTGGCTGTTCACCGAAGCTCATTACAACTGAAACTGAATCAGTAAAGAGGGAAAGAAGGAATTAGAGGAAGAGGAAAACTCATCAGAGGTTTTAATGCGCACAAGCAGAGACAAAGAGGATGAAATGACAGTAGATCAAAGGAAAAATACAGATTAAGAAGGAAGGAAAAATGGTTATGTAAAAAACAGGCAGACATTTAGGGATAGTACAGAGGTAAGATCAGATCCTCCTTGTGTTTTGTCTCCATTTATTGAAAGATATACACAGTTTCTGTGAGTGAACGTAAAAGAAAGAGCGCCCAGTTTGAAAATACATTTAATTATCCTTTAATGCTGAATTCCCAGTGTATTTAGACACTTAAGCAATAATCTTCTGCATACACACACACACACACACACACACACACACACGCACGCAAAGGGAGGGTAGCTAACAAGGATACTGCCAGGTCATGTTCATCCCACATGAGGTTTAGTGAAGGGTGTTAATTGGGTTCATTAAATCACAATTACATGGTGTGTAATTGTGTGTGTGTGTGTCTGTGTGTGTGTGTGTGTATGAATCAAATTGACTGCAAATTCGAGTTAGCTAAAAGTGAACCGTGAAGGGCATGTGAGGTGTAATCCTCCTCAGCCAGTTCAACTGATTTTCACAGCAAACCATTGACAACAGTGGAACACGTCCGTGTGCAGTAAAACAAACGTGTGCAACATACAGGCTGTGAAATAGCTCTCGATTGTGATTTTTAAATGCTGTATAAACGTGTCGTGCTGTCACCTGCTGCTGCATCAATGCAAACCGTCACAGGACATTCAGATAATTATTTTAATTGACCATCGCTGAAAGAACATGAGTCAATAGCAACACAGGCGCAGAGCAGCAGCAGCAGCGGCAGCAGCTTGAGTGTAATGTTCACATAGCAACAGAGAGATCAAATTCTGAAGAAAAGAAAAAGAAAATGACAACATGCATTTACTCTGGGCCTCTTCGTGTTGCCTGCTGAGCTGAATATGACAGAAAGAGAACTCGGATATCGGACTAGGCGAAGCAGCGCTGCCTGATGGATGATTTAAACTGTAAAATGTTATTCCACAACACGAGCAGAGCAGCAGAGCCGACCAAAGTAAAACAGACTGTTTTGACCGTTAACATTGATGAGCATGGATATGAATGAGGAATGATTGAGTAACTGTGTATGTCCCAGCTCTCCATGTTCAAATTACTGCAAGCCTGAGCGCGTGCAGGCTGTGTTTTTTACTGAAATATTAATGGATGCCACATTAGAGTCCAACAGAAATCCCAATTAATAATTCTGCTTTGCAGGCAAATTGATATTTATATTCATTACTGATAGTTAAATATAATACATAAGATAAAAATAAAGGAAGAAAAAGAAAAGTTTTTGGGGAAATATTAAAAACGCACCATTTCAGAGGAGTGTGGGTGTCTGTGTTTGATTGACAGCAGCTATAGCTCCACAGCAGGGAAACACAGACAGTAATCAAACTCGCACTGCAGCTTAGACGCCATGGGCAGACGTCATGTTGTTAACAGTGGTAGCTGAGGCGCGTAAGGACCACAGCAGCATCAGAACGGACCAAAAAGACATTTGAAGGTAACTCAAAGGAAGTCTGTTTGGTCAAGATGAGACGTGTCTTTGTGAGTTATATTACACAGGAAATGATAGCAGGAAAGCTAACTCGGGTTGCTGTTTAAGGTCTGGGGCTCTTGTGTTGTGTAGCTGTGACTGTCTGCCGATGAGAGAACAGTGACGTTAATTTGTTTGATTAGATTTGATTGGTTGTCAGAGAGATAACAGCTCTATGGCTGGTCACTGCAGAGACAAGGGGCACAATTATGAAACGAAGAAACAATTTCTCATTTGTTGAATTTTCAGCTGGACTTTTAAGTATTGACTCATCTGAACTGTAACAATGTCACCTGAGTCACTGTTGCAGCGGCCTCTGTTTTGTTTGTGTCTGGGAGGCTTCAGTTGCTCCTCTTCGGCTCTCGTGCTTCAGTTCTCTCTCGTTTTGACGAAACTGGACCTGGCAGAAATTTACATGCGTCTGTGGAGGGGTGTGTGGTGTGTATGGTGTGTATGTGTGTGTGTGTGTGTGTGTGTGTGTGTGTGTGTGTGTGTGTGTGTGTGAGAGAGTGTGTGAGAGTGAGTGAGTGAGTGAGATATAAGCCCCATGCTGCAACTCAACTGAGGGGAACAAATGACCAATGAACTGGTGCAGACCCACAATGCACTGCACTGTAATGGAAGGCAATAGCATGGATAACTGTTCCCCCATGGAAAATTTGATCATGGCCTTTCTCTCTCCCTCTTTGATCCCAGCAGCGAGTTCAGGCTCTACAGTGAATCTCAATTACTGACACACACCATAAAGAGAAGGGGAAAAGAAGAAAAGGGAAAAGGGGGGGGGGGGGTATAGAGAGACAAGGATAATGAGGTGATAGGGGAACTGGAGATATATTTTCTTTTAGTAATGCTACTATAATTATTGAACAGTGTAAACCTAATTAGATAAGTTCAAACCATAGTCACAGTCTAATTGTTAATTCAAGAGGTGAAAATTAAAAATCACTTTACTGAGTTCATTTCAAAAGATTCACCGTCTTTTAACCAGGAAGTGACGAGCTGTGTGTGACGGCGCTTTCAGTGAGAGGGACAAAAGCCTCTGTTTCAGTCGGTGACAATGATGATTCAGTACACTCAGTACCTCTAGTGTGTCTTCACCCACAACCTGGTATCTTAACTGCTAATGATTTGTTTTTATTGAATCTGGTAAAGAAATAAGTCTACAGCAAATGCTCTAATAACAAATAGGTTTTTAGCACTGTACTCCAGAGTTTGAAAGATCTGCAGCGGCCAGATGGGGTTCTGTCACTGCACATAAAAATGTAAAATTCCCCCTCCATCCATCCAGTCCATAATACTTGACACAAATTGACAATTACTGTTCCAGTAGGGCTGATGTAAGCCTCCATATTTTGAACACAAATGTCTCAAGTTTTTGTTAAAACCTAATGAGATGAACCATTACAAGGAGTTCCTGCAACTTTTGTTGGTCATTACTATGCTGTTCATTTATATAGCTGCAACATGTTATGTCAGCTTTTCACATTTCAAGTTTTGTGACATTAAAAACTTCCTGAAAAGAAAAAAAAAAACACTTTTCTCCTACTCCACCACTTTCTCTAAGCTGGAAACCCTGTAGGTTTTGTTTGCTGCTCTGTCAGTCCAGTTAATTCCCAGTACCTGCGCAGCCTGCTGCTCTCCTCATCTAACGCTGCTGTCTGTCGTTCCCTTGTTGTGTTTTCAGAGGAGCAGCTGAAGGAAGAGGATGAGGAAGAGGAGGCGCTGACAGGAAAAGATGAAGAGGAGCGCCGCATCGCCGAGATGGGCCGCCCCATGCTGGGCGACCACGTCAAACTGGAAGTTATCATAGAGGAATCATACGAGTTCAAGGTGAGGCAGGGAGAGTGTTTGTGTATGTGTGGGGCATGTGATAACATGAATGACAGTTATAGGACTGATTAGAGGTTAATCAATCCAGCACAGATGGCAGGCGCACATGTTTTAGTGTGCAGTGAAAATAAAAAACCCTGCTGTTGTCGGGCAGTGCACTGGCTCCAGTTTCTTTTAATATAGATCCTGGATAGAGGCGAGACAGTCAACACAGTGGCCTCACATCATTAATCACTGGTGGGGCTGTAAACACTGAAACATCACAGAGATACAGCACACATCAAGGAAATTCTACAACTGACGAGCAGCAAGACTGGCTTTAAATTGCTCACGTTACTGAAAAGACACAGACAAAGACAACACAAACACACATCCCTCCCAGTTTATACTCACACACTCACAAACCTCTCTGATACATACAGGAAGTAATTGTTGTGTGTGCGTCCTTTCCCTGCTCTCCCTCTCCCACGCAGACTCTTAATACAAGCGTAGATCTAATTACCATCCATGTTACATTTTGTAGTGTGTGTGTGTGTGTGTGTGTGTGTGTGTGTGTGTGTGTGTGTGTGTGTGTGTGTGTGTGTGTGTGTGTGTGTACTAATGCATGTTCCTTGCTGCTGCTCCACCTACATGCTCACTCTAGACAGACAGTTAATAACACCCAGTAATAGCTCGCCACTTGACAGGATGCTATACTTTGTCAAGTAGTTTTGCACATTAAAGTGAGTGTGCGTGCGTGTGTGTGTGGAACTGAATCCTATAAGTACTGCCCATTGGCAGGTAGTGGAGTGTAACAGTGTGAGTGTCTGACATAACAGACTGAAGGGGAAAAAAGAAAAGTTGCGTCAATAGAAAATAAAAGTTTCCTTTTAAAGGGATTTCAATTCAAACAATGAAAACAAACAGAAAACTGATGAGTTGTGATTGTGTTTTAGTGACAGGTAAATCGTGCTCATATGGGAGGAATTTGAAACAGGCAAAAAAAAAACTATTGGTTTTTTTAGTCTGAAGTCTTTATCAAGCTCTCATCATTATCTGACACCAGTGATGGAATAGATGGTTGTCAGCGGTGACAAATGATGACAAAATGAAACAATCCATATACAGCCCTGGTACTTGTAAAAAAAAAAAAAAAAAAAAGAAATGTGTGTGTGTGGAGTTTTCTGTACACATTCAAGGTGTGTTCAGTGGCTGAACACGAAACTCATTTTTTGCCTCGGATTGTTCTAATTTGACGGCTGGACCTGTTTTTGCACTCCCTGTTTATTCGCCCTGAACAGCCCAAGCACCCACTCTAGAGACAGTAACTGTAGCTAATTAGCAACGTACAGACTGTGCGCCCGTGTGTTATTGTCACAACTCAGTCTGTGACTTATCTCAGGTGAAGAGTGGGTCTCTAGTGGGTGTATTCTGTTTGAAGTAGACTTGTAAAGTCGCTGCGAAAATGCTAATTTCTCACTCATTTTCAGCTCACACGGTCACGCCTTCGCCTCAGCTCATGGCGCCCAGGGCCAATTCACAATAATCGTCTTTCCACTGACTTTACATGCGATTGCGCCGCTTTTAAGATTCACTTCACATTTGCTCTAAATGCACCTTCAGTCCAGAAGCTCTGATAAGACAGAGACACAGTGAGGAGTGAATCACGAGTTGCTCACTACCTCTCTGTGCTTGTGCTGACGCTGCGGTACAGTAGAGGGAAAGAAGCTGTGAAGAGACATTTTTGACAACTGTATGAGAGTCTCCCTCCCCCTCAAATTGCTGCCATTACTATTCAGTAAATGCATTTGAATGTGTACATGCCCACACCGGCCCATCTGAGTCTAAAGTAAACAACCGAGGGAGGAAATGGAGAAGAGAGCAAAGGAGATAAAAATAACAGCGTAACACAGAATGAGAAAGACGATATGACAAGAATCTACGTACGGTTAAATAAACTCTCCACATGCAATGGTCAGAGTAGAGCCAGTTGTGTGCGTGTGAGAGTTTGTCCACAGAGTCAGCGAGGCCGTATTTACACCCCTAAGCTCCATTCAACACAATTAGCATCCCAGTTTCCCTCTGAAGTGGAGAGAAAAAGGAGAGAGCAATCCCCACCGCTCCACTAATTAGAGTGTGATGTGTGTGTGTGTGCGTGCATGTTTGTGTGTGTGTAAGCCTGAGTGTTTTAGTGTGTTATCTCAATCTGTCATAGTTTCTTTCTTGTGGAGAAAAGAACAAAGGTATAGAAATCCAAGGAATGAAGGAGATGCGGGATGAAAAAACAGGAAGGATGAGAGGGAGGAAGAATAAACTGGAGGGATGACAGGGCAGTGTGTATATATGAAGTGTTACATTAAACAATGTTGAATTAATGTCACATACATACTGATACTGTGCAGCCGGACATCCAAACCCACAGAGCTCCATTTTCAGTTGATCATGGAGTTTCTAAACATACCAAATATTTCTGGCTGAATTCTGGGGAATGCTTATAAAATGATGCTTAAGTCTTCTAGACTATTTGACTTTGACTGAATATTGCAGCCATAAAAACACAGAGTCATGGGTTTGAATATGTCACTCAGTCCACGCTGGTATATATGTGACACTGAGTGGAATAAGATGATTTATTTTCACCGTCACAGAAGAGGGAAAACTGTGTGTGAAGGGGGTTTTGTATTTTTAAAAATGAATATATCATTATCAAATGAAGTGCAATACAACCACAACAAGAGAGTAAAAACAAGCATATGCCTATGTCTCAGAGTGGTTACATAAGTAGTTCTAGTTTTTAGTTTCACATTTCCCCTGACGACTTTAAAACATTTATTCTGAAAGGACAGTGCCAGTTTCCTGTTTTATGCCATAAAGCAATCCAGCAGATTTCTCATGCCAAACAAATGACTAAGTCTCTCAAATGAATGAATTTATGACATAACATGGCATCCTGAATACTGTGGTGTATTCTGGCTGGTGTCTCTAACCATTACCATCCATCTCCATCTGTCCTCTGGCAGAATACAGTGGACAAGCTGATCAAGAAGACCAACCTGGCTCTGCTGGTTGGAACCAACAGCTGGAGAGACCAGTTCATAGAAGCCATCACTGTGAGCGCAGGTAAGGCCAAACGACAGGTGTGTGTGTGTGTGTGTGTGTGTGTGTGTGTGTGTGTGTGTGTGTGTGTGTGTGTGTGTGTGTGAGAGGGTGTGTGTCATATAAATTCTTGTTAGCTTGAACAGCTGTGCTTTTATCTTCGGTTGAGTTCTGTGTGGTCCTGTGTTCTAATGATCAATATATCTGAAAATATCAAACATCTTATGTTGAATGTGTGTGAATGTGTGGCTGGCTACTCTAACGCTGGAGAAAAATGAAGTGGGCTGATTTCATCCTGCCATGGAGTCAAGTGTGTGTGTGTGTGTGTGTGTGTGTGTGTGTGTGTGTGTGTGTGTGTGTGGGTGTGTGTGTGTGTGTGTTCATGATTTTTAATGGTTACTGGAAAAGTGAACTGGCTTGGTTTGATGGTTTGGGCAGACAAACACTGACCAGATGGGAGATTATGTGGAGAGTGATTGTGGGAGCGACTGCGTGTGTGTGTGTTTCAGCCCCCACAAAGTCAAGGGTGTGTGTGTGTGTGTGTGTGCATGTGTGTTAATGTGTGACAGACAGGGCTTGAGAAAGATGGGAATATTCAACACTAAAGTCTTGTGAGTGTCAAGATCTTTTATAAGCCAAGATGGTGTTAATGTCCCATGAAGAGGGAGAAAGAGAGGATGCATGTGAAGAGCGAGAGATGAGGAAACCTGGTGTGAGAGAGAGTCCATATATTATGCAAATAGAGACTGATGGAGAGAGAGAGAGAGAGTGCATGCAGGACTGTGAAACAATGATGAATAAGAGAATGCATGCATAAAGAGAAATATAATGCCATACAGTTGAAGAATTTATGTATGAAGTTTTAGCAGGTTGAAAAAGAGAACAAGAGATGGAAAGAATTCATGCAACAAGTAAACTGGTAAAGAGAGTGAGTGGCTGAGAGGAACGAGAGAGGAAACTGATGAAAGAAAGAGGCAAAGTTTTTTGGGTTTTTTTTCTGTTTCCCTGCAGAATCTTCACAGCTGATTGGTTACTAGTGGTAACTTGCCCTCTGGAGGCAGGATGATATTACAGCAGCTCATCAGTGGAAAAGGAGGGGGAAGAGAGAGAGAGCAGAACTTCAGATAACAGGAGGTTCATTGTTGTGGTGTTTCTGCTTCAGAGTTCCCCAGTCAACCCGACATGCAAAAACAAAATCATACTAATCACTGAAAAATATAAAAATGATGATGACGTGAATTTTGCTGGGGTCTGCATCAAACAAGCCTGTTCCCTCACATCTGGAGAATATGACTTGTAGGCCGGAGCATTTGGATATTGCACTCGGCCATATTGCGATTTTGATAATGTTTTTCGATTAATTGTTCAGCCCAACAGTGACGAGAAGTTTTCCTTGTTAGTCTTTCTCCCTCCTCAGGTTACTGTTGATGTCTGAGTCTTAGTTCCAGGCTAGCTGTTTCTCCTGTTCCAGTGTTCATGCTAAGCTAAGCTAACATGCGGCGTTGATCTTCTCATGAAACTCTCTCTTTAGTTTTCAAATTGCACAATACACTATGGGTACATTATATACCTTTAGCTGGAATAGTTTGACAGTGTGAACAGTATTATGTCATTATCATTTACAATACATCTTACTGTCGGTGTGTAATATTGTAGTTGCTCAAACGTGCCCCCCTATCTGCTGCTCTGAGTACGACACGGATTCATCCCTACTGCTCCTGCCGCGCTGCATGCAGGGCTGGATGTGTGTGGGTGCTGCCAGTGATTATTTCCAGAAAAACTGTACATTGTTTATTTACCGCAGCTCAGACTGACAGGAGCACGTTGAGGATACACTTTCATGAACTGCTTATGCAAGTAGGAAAACTATTAGAGAGGAGCAAGTCACTGTTAACACTGTTAATCGGAGCAAAACATTTTGTATTTGTGTATATGAAAATAGCTCTAGATAATCACCGTGAATAAAAAAAAAAAATCACCTAATTTGTTGCTGCCATCTTTGAAACTGGGTTTCTGTTCGAGCATTGTTTGTCTACAGACTGCTCAATCACTTCAGCGCCTTCAAATAACTTTATCCTGTGGGTGTGTGTGTGTGTGTTTATTTGTGCTTTAGTTAGCCAGCCTGTCAGCCGGCCTTTGTTGGCGAGCTGATGCCATTAATGAAAAGGCCTGTCTTCACTCTCTTATCTGGGATTAGCTTGTCTAGGCTGACAGACTGCTGTGTGTGTGTGTGTGTGTGTGTGTGTGT